CCCAGTTTGGATCTGGCTTAGATCTGATCTCTGTTGCGTGATGTAAAGTGAACCAGGATTTATAGCTTCTCTCAGCGTGCTGCAATCCTGATGGAAAACTCCAGTTTTTAATAGCCCCTTGCTTTGTCTTAAGTTTACCCAAAATTTCTTCTCTCATTCTACTGAATGAAGGCACTGACCTCTCCTGAACTTGTGAGGGCTTTATAAGCATGAGCTCCTCTAAAGTCAGTATCTACACTTCAGGAACAGTAGTTATTCTGTGACTAGATCCATGTGCAGCCAAACTGAAGATGACAAGCTGCTTGTACAATCTCAGGCTGCTGCAGTTCTCCAAAATACTTTGGCTTTCTATTGTTTTGCTTGTAATCGGGTCTCATACATTTAGCCCAGGCTTCGCAGTTTGGAATAACTTGATGTGGGGGCCCCTCATGATCATGTCCTCCATCGATCTATTCTCTTATCCCAAACTCAGTTTTGTGAGATAGTCCCTGTGTCTTCCCAGTTCATGGAAATGCGAAGCTCATTACCCTGTTTCTTAGTATCTGGATATCTTCCTCCAGGAGCCGACCTGGCATCTGACAACATAGCTTTGTCTTTCCCCTTGCTTTGCCCTGGTTGCCTGCAGAGAGAGTGAGCTGTGAGAGAAGTCTACAGCATAGAAGTGAGATACTGGTAGTTCTCTGTCACAAGGGGTGGAAGACCTGCCTGGCATGGAGCCACAGGGTTTTCCTCCAGTTACACTTGCATTCCTACACACAGCATTTTATACAATCATAGAATTGTCTAGGTTGGAAGAGACCCTCGGGATCATCGAGTCCAACCATCTACCCTACCCTACAAAGTTCTCCCCTACACCGTATCCCCCAACACCACATCTAAACAGCTCTTAAACACATCCAGGGATGGTGACTCAACCACCTCCCTGGGCAGCCTGTTCCAGTGCCCGACCACTCTTTCTGTGAAAAATTGTTCCCTAATGTTCAGTCTAAATCTACTCTGTTGGAGCTTGAAGCCATTCCCTCTTGTTCTGTCATTAATTACCTGTGAGGAGAGACCAGCACCAACCTCTCTACAGTGTCCTTTCAAATAGTTGTAGAGAGTGATGAGGTCTCCCCTCAGCCTCCTCCTCCTCAAACAGTCCCAGCTCCTTCAACCGCTCTTTATATGATTTGTTTACTAGGCCCTTCACCAGCTTCGTTGCCCTCCTCTGCACTCGCTCCAGCACCTCGATCTCTCTCTTGTATTGAGGTGCCCAAAACTGGACACAATAAACAAATGAAAAGGTTTGTGTGGTGGGAGCAGGGGGAAATAACAACCCCTGCCCATTTACTCCCAAATAAGTGGCCTTTGAAACACAATACTGGCACAACACAACATGGGGAGAACCTCTCTAGCATTTTTTTGCCCTGTATGCGGGTGGTCTTTTGGGTGCACATAAGCTCAGTTTGATGGTTAAAAATTGGAATAATTATTAGGAATGATTAGGAGAAAGATGGGGGGATGGTGTGGTGGTAACTGCTTTCCAGAGAGATCAGATTAAAGACACAGTTTGATGAAAAGACGGCATTCTTATGGATTGATTGTGGGTTTTTTGAGACCAATAAAAATCTGTGAGCAACAATAGAAGGCAGGAAGACTTAAAGGAAAATTCTGTGAAGTCTTTGAAAGGAAATTCAGGAGAAAGAAATGAAGCCACGACTATAAAAACAAAAATATTCCAAGCAATTTAAAAGCTGTATCCTGTGTGCTGATGCCAGATACCATCAGCATAAGGTTCCACAATTCTCATGTCCTAAAGTCTGAGTCCTGGTAAAAATTATTTTAGGAATGTCACTATTGACTGATTGTAGTACTAATAAATATAAACTACGTATTCATATGAACCTGCATAGCTTATAGGGTCATTACTGCAGAGTACAGGTGCTATGAGGGCATAGTATTATTGATAATCCTTGTGTTACCAGCTTCGAAGAGTATCCTAAAAACAAGGTGGATGCATAATGTGTGCGTGTTGATGAGTGAACGATGAGGGGAGATCCACGTGTGTACATTGTGGGTTCCCTTG